ATCACACAGCTGGCAGAATATCTCCTGAGCGGTGGTCTGGCCATGCATTGGAATCACTGTGAGTAACTCCTCCATCACTTCAAAATTGTCGTCAACACCACAGACATATATTGCGAGCTGCGCAGTGTCAGTGACGTCTGTGCTCTCATCAAGAGCGACTGAGTATGCATGAAAATGTTTAGCTTTCTCACGCAGTTGATCGTAAATGTTACCTGACAGGTCAGAAATGTGTTCTGCCACTGTGTTGACTGAGAGGCTGATGTTGCTAAACTGACCCTTTTTTTCCGGGCAGACTATACTTGCAGCCTGTAACATGCACTTTTTGATGAACTCGCCATCTTTAAATGGCTTTCCTGCCTTAGCAATCATCTCAATCACTACGTAGCTGGCTTCGACTGCCGCATTACTCTCTTCACTTGCTTTCTTGAAAAAATCTTGTTGCCTCAGTAGACATGTTTTAAGTTTGACGACATGGTCCTCTCTCTCATCTCCCTGGTATTTTGCCTACTCCTCAGCATGTCTAGTTGAGTAATGACATCTGATGTTGTACTCCTTGTGCACCGCAACTTTCTCTGTGCATATAAGACATGTGGGGATGTCCCTGTGCTCAACAAAAAAATATTCCGTCTGCCACTTCTCCTGAAATTGTCTGTGCTCATCGCCAACCTTTCTCTTCATGGCAGGTTTTGAGAAAGAAATGACTGGGGCTGGGTGACAAAAAAAAGTATTTGTACTGGGTGACAGGATATATTTTCCCTTCACTCGGTGACACTCCCAAATCACGTTTCAAGTGACTAACATTGTAAATTTGCGTTGCTGTCACGATCCTGAGCTATGGTAGTCCACAGGTGACAAAAAATATAAAACGCCCAGGCAATGTTCCCTCTAAGCTGCGCGCCGGGTGGTGGTGGGCCGCTCATCCTGCATGGCTCCCAGAGGCTGGCCTGGGTGCCGCCGGTGCTTTGAAGGCTGCAGGGCCCCTCCCCTGATCCCTGCCCGTCCCGGTGCACAGCTTAGAGGGAACATTGCGCCCAGGGTAACGACTCACGCAGGTGCGTGTGAGAAAAACGCGCGGGCCGCACTATCACTAAACTTTGATATCGAGTGGGGGCCATAAATATCGTCCCATGGGCCACAATTAGCCCGTGGGTCGCAAGTTTGAGACCCCTGCACTAGATTAAAATAACCATAGAATGCAATCCACTTTCTGCATACAGAAAACAGAAATTTCCCTTTTTGGAATGTACCACTTCAGTATAGAATATAAAATGTTCTTTTGGCACTTGATTGTGAAGGTTCCTTTTGTCTGTGAAGTTTGTCTAACTCTCAACAAACTTTATAGCTCTCTTTGCCCCTGGAGCTTCTTAAACTTATGACCCACGCCAGATGAGGCTGCAAGGGGCATGGGCAAACAAGTGCTGAAAACATGGCCATGAAGAAACCCTTGTGTGATTCTGCCAGGCTTGGCTTACAGTACATGCCATTCCCAAGCATGATGTTTGAAAATGCATGTTCAAAGTGTATATTGAACCAACCACAAGTGTGAAAGCTTCACAGATTGTCAGTTCACAGTGATTACAAGAACCTTGGCTATGGGATGGTATAAAAATGAAACAAACAGACAAACAAACAATTGGCAATCCGAATCTACATTAGGTCCTAAGATCATGCTCCACAAGAAACACAAAAAGCACATTCATACTTCAAATTGTGAAACCCATAGAGAAGGAGTGGGGGATGTGCAGCTCTCCAGATGTTGCTGCAACAGGTTTACAAGATGCCTTTGGTGGAAGCCAAATGAATTTTATAAACCTAACTGCTGCAAGGGCAAGGGAGAATAAATTGGATTTTAACTGGAAAAGAGAAGGTTAATTCTGTCCACCTAGCTATTACTTTTTCCTTGAAAATTACCTACTTGCTGTAAGTAGCCTTGGGAAAAATCCTTCATTGTCCTTATTACATTTTTATACCACTCATTGCTGAAGCTCTCTGGAAGGTTCACAACATTTAAGTCACCCATCCAGACTTTCAACCAGGTGTGACCCTGCTTACCTTTAAAAATTATGCAGGAACAAGCACTTCAGGCTATATGGAAGTTGCTGGAGGGATTTCCCAAGTCTAATTACATTAGGGGAAGTGGATAGTCTTGTTAGGGGAGTGTTCAGAGAAAGAGAGAGACAGACACACACAGAGAATATGTACCTGAATGCATTGGTGCCAATAAATGTATTTGTGCAATGTATGAAAATGGCTGTGTCAGCCACCTTCCCAATGGTTAGACTTAAGGAGTGGAGCCTCTGAGCCAAAAGATCCTACTGCCTCGTCAACAATATGGATTCAGCTCCACTGCTATGAGCCCACATTTTCCACGATATTGCAAACCTGTCAGAGCTTCTTTAAGCAATGGCAAAACAATTCTGAGATGAGCTACTAGCTTAACTTGTGACATGATGAAATGATTATACAAACATGTCACTGTGTGCTAAATTCCGCACAGACCTGCACTCCCAGCATGACACTATGGCCATGTGATGCTGGAAAAACAATATTTTGGGAAGCAGAGAGACTTGAAGGCAGAGTTAAGCAGGAATTGCCGCTTGCCAGTTTCACTCTGGTACAGAGGTTTTGCAGATTTTTAATTGTCTCAAACAAACAAACAAACAAACCTGCAGATCCCTTTTAAGCAAAATAAAGTTGGACAAAAGAAATCCATGTTTATCATAAAGTATAGGAAGGAAACGCTTGGACTATTCTTAAAAACCATTTTCATTTTTTCAAAACCTGTAGCACTGCATTCCATGGGAAAAGTGCCTGTTTTCCTGATGCAACGTGTCTCCTATTTCATATATTTCCTGACATCTCTACTTCCATCAAGTAACAAACAAAGCTATTCCGCTCTTGACAGAAAGAGGAGCTCCTTTTCCCAGTGGAGATGACACTCATTGCCACTGCATCCCAGTTGATTTCTCCAAGCCTATAATCAGATCACATACAGCAGCAGGGATGCTGTCTTGAGGATTCTTCCAAGATGCTTTGCAGACCTGAATGGTGAACCTAACAACTAGGATTTGAGGTTTTACACTGCCGGCATATGGCTTCCCCCATGGGAATACAAACCCTGGGTATTCCAGATTGGCTATGACGTATATCAAAGAACAAGGCAATGACCCTTGATGGATTTGCTATATGCAAGTCCCAAACGGGGTTAAAAACTAAAATTAATCTGTAGCCAAAACTGAACCCTTATAAATTTATTGACAAGGATAATAGATCAGAGGCAATTGCATCAACTTCTGAATGAAAACCAAAGACAATTTCACTTCCCCCCACCCCCCGGCATGTGCCTTGGAGAACTGTAAGACAGACATAATTTGATTGTGTGAAACTTACAGTAATTGGAAAAAACATTATATTATTGTTGGTTATTGTCCCCTGCTGTGGACAGGGGTGGTCAAGCTGTTGGCCCACCAGATGTTTTGGCTTACAGTTCCTCATGCTTCTCACCATTGGCTATATTGACTATGGCTGATGAGAAGAGTAGGGCAAAATATTGGTAGGGTCACAAGTCATATGGAAGGACAGCCTGGCATAAGTGGTGTAAGCCAAAAAATATCTGGTAACCATGTAGCAAGCCCCTGATTTGGTCTGGTGTTTCCTTTCCAAAGACCTGGTTTTCCTAGTTATTAGTAGCTTGTAAGATAAAAAAAGGATCATCATTATATAAAATATTGGCCTCAGGAAAGTACTTTTTGCCTAATTAGGAACATACATCAATATTAAGCATGAATATTTTATTATTTAATATATCTTTATAAAATTGAATTAACCTAATTTGTTCCTAGTCCAGACAAGGGCATAGTTGTTAAACTAAAACATTTAATTGAAAACTATTATGCTGGACCATGGAAGCAAGCTGTCAAACTTTGTTGTTAACACAACAATAATTTGTTACAGATTCTGGTAAGGACCGATTTAAATGGCATGTCTAACATTTATAAAATAATTGTACAACAAATCATTCTGTAATAGCTCTGTGTGCGTGTTTCAGATAGCTGCATCATGATATTGATGATGAATTCATTAATCATATTTGATGCTTCGATGAATTCTTTTATATTTCATATTAAGTGCTTGGTTAACTGTGATCACTTTTAACAAGGAGTCATATTTAATTAATAATTTTAATTACCATGGTAGTTAGCCATAAAAATTAGCAGCATCAGAAGATACACTGTCACTTATAATTTGTGGGAAGACTTGGTATAGAGAATGTCCACCTTGTGCTGGTAACTGCTCTAGCCATAGACATTAATCTTCCTTAAGAAGTTCTAGATCATGCTTTAAAAAGTTTGTGTGGGGGGGGTCCTCCTAAATAACAATCCCATCATATCTGGATAGGTAGGCCCTGAGGGTAGGACCTTAGCTTATCATGGGAAGAAAGAAATAAAGAAGGAACGGCATTCCCTTCCTTCATAACTGTGCATCCACTGGTGGGACAGGTACAAATCATCTGTTCTCCTGGAGCCACTTGCTCTTTGATTCTAGCAGGTGGTTGTGGTGCCCCTGTCATAAATTATAGCTATTGCAGATCCTGACTGAGAGCTGAGAGCAGTAGCAGGAAACAGCCACTTTCAGAGGTTCTAGCAACTCCTGGTAAATAAAAGAATAGCTGAGCTGAGCTGAGCTTAGAGATGGTTGGGGCTTCTTGCTACCTGCAATATCCCAGGGATCCTGATGGAAGGAGGGAAACAAAGGAATTTTCCCACAAACATTCCTTTTTCAGCGTCTTGGCTTTGGGCATGTCTATGCATTTATGTCATCTGTACTTGGAAAAACAAGGGCAGCCTAGGAGTATATAAACACACCACCAAAACCCCTAGAAGATTCTACTACAAAGGTGTTTTCCATTCACCCCCAACTTTAAAAAATGCTAGGAAAAAAGTCTGCAGTGGATTATGGTTTCCACTATACAGAGAAGTGTCAAAATTGCAACTTTTTACCTCTGGTTATCCTTGGAAGGCACCTCCAGCATGCTGCAAATGGTATGTCAAGGTGTGGCCACCACTGAAAGGCTCACTTTGGCGCAGGGGACATCTCAATACTCCTTCAGTGTCCCTTGAGATACTGTGGAAAGACTGTGGATAGAAAAGGTGTGAGGAGAACAAACACCACCCCCGCTGTGCCTGATCATCTGTCCCACACAGTACATGGTTAAAATCCCCAAATTATCATCAAATTATCACCCGGAGCTGTTCAGTGCCAATTACCTCTGCGCCGCCCCCTTTGCTGACTGAATCTATTTACCATGAATGTACTTCCAGAGGCACATGACCCAGTACTGGCAAATCCAGCAATGATTTTATTCTTTGTGAAAACACCACAAGTCTTTCACTTCTTGTTTTAGATCTCTCTCTCAGTGTATCAAGTTTAAACAGGCTTTTTTTGCTCCTGTCTATGCGCTGGTGCTGCTGGGTAATTACCTCTTGTGCTTTTGAGGTGGGCACTCTGCCATGATAACCTGGTGCCTGGGTGATCTAGAAAGAGCCTGCAGCAGGGAGTAATTGCTATGCGGCAGGGATACGGCATGATGATGTCTCAGGTCCTCTGGGATCCCACACTTTAATGTCACAGCATGATTAGCGCAGGGCACTCGGAGCTGTTGCTGAGATGCTTCCTGGAAATTTACATGGTGCATCACTCTCCGGTTGCGGTTTCACTGGCAGCCATTTGATTTTTAAGCATAACTCAAAATGCATAACTCAAAATGCAGACTGACTTTTAAAAATCAGTCTGGCCATTTTCACATAAGGAGTCTTTCCATATGAATCCATATTCCTTAATGAAAAGATAATGTAAAGCAGCACTGCCCCATGTATCATTGGAATAAATGGTGAGGTATGAATTTCTTTTCCTGTTTTTCTTGTTTTTGATACTAATTTACCCAAACTTTGCCATGAGAAGAACATTTAATTTTATTTTTAATTTATTTTAATAGAATGTAGGAAAAACGGGAACTGACAAATTTGTCCACTCAGATCTAAGGCTCATTCTTAACGTATTTATTCTTAAAAATCTGTCTTTGCATTTCTGTGGATTCACCTATGTTAGTGCTGAAATCCACTTTTTTTTCTGACAAGCTTCTCACCTTTAGCAGCAATTTGACAGGAAGACACAACATATTCTATTCCATGCTGGAACAAAACTGTATCAATCAAAGCTGTCCAATGCATTGGTGGCATAAGGTTCAAATACAATCGAGATATGTTAAAGATTATAAAATGTGGGGTTTTTATAAGGAGTTAACAACATTTGACCAAGTGATCTTAAAATCAGATGAGAAAATGATTAAAAGACTGTATAATGGGAGAATGGAAGATGACCAAGTTACGGAAACTATGATAACATGGGCACAAAATTTTGGATATAATATTCAAATACTATAATATTCTCATATAACCCAGTCCTCTATCAGCTCCACTGGCCTCCCAACGAAGTCCGGGCTCAATTCAAGGTGCTAGTTATTACCTATAGAGCCCTAAACGGTTCGGGACTTGGATACCTAAAGGAACGCCTTCTTTCCTATTTGCCCTCCCGCCCCCTGAGATCGGCAGCAGAAGCCCTCCTCTGGGAATCTGCTGTGAAAGAAATTAGGAGGCAGAGCACCCGGAGGAGGGCCTTCTCTGTGGTGGTGCCCCATCTATGGAATGTGCTCCACAAAGAGATCCGCCTGGCACCGTCATTATATGTTTTTCGGTGCCAGGTTAAGACCTTTTTATTTCATCAATAGTCTAATAAGTTTTAATATGGTATTTTAATATTATATTTTTAACTGCAGCCAGAGTGGGTCAATTTGTTCATGTTGATTTTTATGTTGACATTATGTTATCATTTAGTTTTATTGATATTTGTATTTTATTATGTAAGCCGTCCTGAGGCTTTTGCAATAGGATGGCATATAAATATCACAAATAAACAAACAAACAAACAAATAAATATTGAGTTACAGAAATGGCAAAAGTTGTGGGAAAGAAATATCAAGGTAACTTTAGCAACCTCATATAAAGAAAATCTTTATAAAATGTTTTATAGATGGTACCTATCACCAAATAGATTAGCAAAGATGTTTCCAAATATGTCAAATGGATGTTGGAAATGCAAACATAAACCGGGTACTTTTTATCATATGTGGTGGACTTGTGATAAGGCAAAAAAAAATATTGGGCTAAAATGCATAAATGGCTTGAGGAAATGTTACAAAAATCTTCAATATTTAAGCCTGAAGTCTTCTTACTAGGCATTGTACCTGATGATGCTGATAAACAAGCAATGTTTTTGATTCTACATGTAATTACTGTGGCAAGGATTGTATTTGCCCAACATTGGAAGAGTGAAGAACTACCCACTGATGAACTGATTTTAAAAAAGATTCTGGACTGTGCTGAAATGGACAGACTGACTTTGTATCTGAAGGAGAAAGAGGATACTTCTATCAAACTTGGAACTCTTTTTATTATTGGCTAGAGAAACGGGACTATGCGTAGATTTGAATATTTCTACGGATTGCTCTAAAAAAAAATAGGGGGCTGACCCAGTAGGTCTAATTTTTCTGATGACTGATGTTTTTTAGTTTCTTTTTTTTAGTTTGTAGAAAATAATAATAAAATTTACTTTAAAAAAAGTTGTCCAATGCAAATTGGTGGTAATTGCATTTCAGTTTCTAGTACAAATTTATCAAATGTCACAAATGTGTCTTTGTAGTTGGTAGTTATTTGCCAAGTTTCTTCATTATTCCATATGGAATGAACTTGAGATTTAAGACATGAAATCTTAAATGAGGGAGAAAGCAAATCCAACAGATGTGTCCACTCCTAGGTAGATAATTTCTTATTGTGATGAAATCCGAACAGTGGTGTTTTCAGGGACCTAGTAAATTGCATTCAAGAGATGCAGACCAAGTTCAGGGTCTTAACAGTGCAATTCTATGAAAGTTTTGACAGAAAAAAGTCCTTTAACACCCAGAGTTCCCCAGGCAGTCATGCTAACTGGGCAATTTCTACGAGTTATGGAAGTTTGTTTTTTGCTTCAATTTGTATTGGATTGCTCAGTTAGAATATTTGGAAGGCTCACGAATAATTCACCTCAGTAGTTGTATCTCCCAAGGAGTCCCACTGAGTTCAATGATACTTACTTCTAGGTAAGTGGGGACCCTACAGCTTCAGAGAAGGTCCCAAATAAATATCCAGAAGTGGAATGTAAAGAAGCTTTTTACCCTTCAAGGTACCAAGCAACTTTGTCTGCCTACACCCATAAGATCATGGTGCAACCTTTTCCAACCTGGTTTGCACAATTTGTTCTAAGTACATGTGACAGGATAATAAAATCAAATTGTCTTACTTTAAAAATGATAGTTTTAAAGTACTTCAAACATGCCATGAAATATAAATGTAGATGTGGCCTGCCTTCAGAGACTAACTACAGGATGATATTTCTGATGCTCATGTCCATCGATCTCACTGAACACACAAGAGGTAAAGGGTTTTGCCTCATTAGCCATAGCTCGTTAGGTATCATTCTACTTTTTTACCTACACAGAATGTTCCCACAACTGTTATTCAAACAGGTCATGCCTCATTATATCCCAAGGAAAAGTTTTCTGTATTTGTATCACATTATCTAGTTGGAGCTATTCTTCCATTGAAACCTAAGTGACATATTCAGTATTGCTTGGACATACAGAAATGGGGATTTGTCTTTTCTTTAGCGAAGGACCAGGTCCAGGATTCCTTTGTTACGCAGCTGAATTTGTTCATGTGTGGGACACCTCTTCTACTGTAGCTGTCCTCTGTGAAAGTAAGTAATGAGCACACTTTGAAGTTCTATTAAGTTAATTATCTAGTCTCTTCTGTGAAAACAGCCCCACTCAACCAAGCCTAAATGTCCAGACCAGTGGAAACCAATTGAATTCCATTTTATTTGTTTTGACAAGGCATCCCTATTCAGAGGAATGGATGACAAGAGATTACATGAATAAGGTTCTAATATATCATTAATTCAGAGGATAACAGCCACATTTAAAAAGACTTCTCACAGAAGAAAAGAAATAGGAATAATACAGTGGTTCAAGTTAATGCTCATATCCTAATTTGACAACACCATAAATTTAGTGGTTTTTATAATTGGTCATAGAACAGCTAGAAATTGAGGTGGAGTGTTCCAGTGATGATAGCAATGAAAAGTGTCACTGTTGTTTCTCTGGATGAAAGCCAGTATTCAAAAGGTGTAACTGTATGGCAAGCAGTATAAATCCCAAAACATGTTTATACCCTTTTATACACCATCGCATTTATCCCAGGTTGTTTTTCCCCAATAAGTGAGAACAGAACCACCAAGTAAGCATTTTCAGCACAGATTTGTGTTTTGCAGACTTTCAAAGAGACTGTATTTCTCAAATGTACAGAATGTATTTGCTATTTGTTTCTTATTATTAATTTCATTGCCATCACCCCACTACTTTTTATTAATACTTTTTTAAAGCAGCTGGGATTGCTTCAAAGCAAACTAAGTGTTTATAGGTGCTGCCATCTTCATTTTCAGTTAATGTTTCTAGATCACATAGGGGCTTAAGACGTTCTTAGAAAATGAGGGTGGTGGCTTGCTGGAGGACAGCTCTAGCCACCAAGCAGAAGAAGGGACTTCTGATCTACTTCTCAAGGCAGCCCTTTTGTGATGTCATCCAGAAAAATTTGTCAATGTGCCATAGTTGTCCGCAGGCCTAAAAGGTTGCCTACCTCTCAATTAGACTAAGAGCTTTTACCTAGAGCATTGAGTTTTATGGCAAGACAGAAATATGGGTTCAGTTCCATCTGGCACTCACTTTTGCCTGCCTCTCAACATAAAAGTCCATCCATCCTCAACAGATGCAGTTCAGGTTGTATGATGTTACAAATCCCTTTTATTATTTATTCTTATGTTGTCAACATTCTCATCTTTGGTATGTCAACATCATTCTGTAGATTCTCAGAAAAACTGTATCCACTTTGTGCACTTTATTAAACTGTAATTGCTACTATCATTAAAGTCACATACAAAGTTGCACAAATAAACAATCAAAGCCCTATGATCCAAGCCGGGTTGTCTCCAGTTTGTTGTTTATTGAAGGTCTGCCATTTAAATTAGTTCCTACCAAAAATAACTTCTGATTGTCAACCTTGTGAACATCCTTCAGACTGTTGGATAAATGATGTTTAGTACACTAAATGAATATTTTTTATATTTGTAGTTCTCAAATTTTCAGAAATCACTGAACTGCAATCTCATGTACACTTATTTGGGAGTAAATGCCAATGGCATCAGTGGGATTTACTTCTCAGCCAGAATCAACTTGCAACAAAAGCTAATTTGTTGTAGCTAAAGCTTTCAAAGACTAGAAAATATTGCATCTGCTACTTTAAGTAGACTTTAATCCACAAAAGCATATCAAGTAGTGTGAGCCTTTAAGGTGCCAATAATTCTTCCCACTCCCTACCCCCAGCCATCCATGAAATCTTGGTGCTCAAGGAAAGCCTATAGTAGCTTTCCTTCTACATCTGGTACCTTCCAGATGTTTTGGACCAACACCAAGCAAACCCAGTCAATATGGTCAGGAGTGATGGGAACTGACATCTAGAACATCTATGGTTATATTCAGATGGATGTTGGATCAACTGCATTGACAGAAGTGGACTTTACCACCTTCTCCTTCCCACGGCATCTTCCCAATAGCTTCCTGATCTCCCCAAATTCAGCAGTGAGTATTCCACAAGCAAACCCCTTCATCTTATAGAAGGGATATCCTGGATCCCTCTTCTAGGGGAGCATTGAGAAGGTTTTTCTATTAGCTGCAGACCGTTGTATAAATAAAAGGACGTTGTGGTGGGATTTATGTGGTAGGGTTTATATTTCTGTATTAAGTATAGGGAAATTTAATAATTTGCAGTGACACAATGAGAATGGGCACAATGAGAAATTAAACACATGGGCACACATGTGAGGTTGGGATATAGGGAGTCAGCTACTTGATGCAAATGTGGATGCAAACAGCAGAACAAATGTAAAATTCACTGGGCATCTTATAGCTTATTCCTAGGCAGAAGTAAACCCCATTGAGTTCAATGAGAATTACTGATGAGAATGATTAAGAGTATAAACTTGACATATTTTAGCACCTATGTTACACGGACAAATGAAGCCGTGTAATCTCTGTATAATGATCTTGAAATCCTTGGAGCAAAAAGTATATTCAAGGATATCTGTGTGACAAAGGGATAAAGCCGAGAAATGGTTGGCTAGGCACATGGGTAAAAGCATGAGAAGTTCTTCCAAAGTATGTTTATTTGGAATTTAATCTCAGTGTGTTCAGTGAGGTTTACTGCCCCTTAGTAAGTGTAGCTAGAACTTCAACCTTGATTTCATCTATACAGAAGTTAGTTACGGCTGCAAGTGCTTATTCCCTTTTACCTGGTAGTAAGTTCCACTTCATTGAGTGAAGCTTATTTCTGACTAGAAATGTATATGGGTTGAGCTTAGTAAAGGTGGCAACCCTAAGCTGAAAAAAGACATGATAGTCTCTCTTCCATTTTTATTGTGTGCTGCCTGTTTCACAATGCACAGCCATATGGCATTGTGTAACTAAAGCACTTCCATAAGGTCAAATGCCAGGCTTAAATGAGGCTGTGGAAGTGCCTAGCTCATTGGCACAGTGCAGCTTTTGCATTTGAAACAAACGATGCAGCAAGATTCCCAGGTAAAGGAGGAACACGCACATCTTTAAAAGAAATAACAGACTAGCTTTTTCCAGCCTTGCAGTATTTATGTTTTTGACTTCAATTCCCATCAGGCCCAGCAAGCAGAAACCATGGTCAACCTGAGCATTGTTAACTAAAATGTGGAAGACACGAGGCTGGAAAAGACTGCTGCAAATAAGTTTGCCAAATGTCTGATCCCAATTCTCCATTCCTGTAAGAAATGCCTCCTCTCCCCATATGCACTATTAACATTCTCTAGCTGCCTATAAATGGAACCTGCCTGCCTAAGCAAATCTATATGGAAGTTAGCGGATCTTAAAACATGCCACCTGCTGCTATCCCTCCCCCAACCCCACCTCAACTCCTGTTATTGATCAGGCTCCCTGGAGCTACTCTACCCACTCCCCACCCCAAAATTAAGACGTTTTTGCAAGGTAGGGTGCAATTCTATGTGAGTTTAGACAGAAAAAGTCTTACAACTTGCAGTGTGCTGGAAATTCTTTATTGCAGGATTATTTTTCCCTGTCTAAAATGCATGGGTTTGTAGCCTTGAAGTAGCATCTGCTTTGATCCTCTATAGCAGACCTGGGCATCGTACGGCCCACGGGCCACATCCGGCCCGATGGCTGACCCTGACTGGCCCGCATGAGCTCACTGGCTATTTAAAAGCCAATGCAAATATATATCATCGTAATATAGATGCAAGCAATACAACTGCACTGCTTTTATTTTGAAGGATCTGCTAAATTGAATATATTGCTTTTCATGTAATGTTAATACTAATGAATATTGTGAATATTCATTAGTGTTGTTCTGTGCTCCACATTTTCATTGTATCATTGTAATGTTTCATTTACTGTTTTTAGAGACACATATTGAGCAGAGCTGTAAGTGTACTGGTCCGGCCCTTAACAACTGTCAAAGTTTCTCATGTGGCCCCATACGAAAATTAATTGCCCACCCCTGCTCTATAGGATCGCGCTGTTATTTCAAAAGAGCAGCCCCGGTTCCTTAAGAAGTGTGCGAGGAGAATCCCCATTCCCCACAGTGCAGCGAGGAATAGACAGACTTCAGCTACTCCTTCCATGGCTCGAAATACAATTGCAACTGCCGGCCCTCGCTCCTTACTCCACGGAGGTGCTAACAGCTGCATTTCGCGCATGAGCACACACTTGACTTGCCCCAACAACCCCCCCCCCCGCCATTCCCGCAGTAATGCTGGCATCCCTGCGATCGACTGCACACCTCTGCCCCGCACCCAGAGACAAGAGACGGGCTGCCCCGGCGCATGCGCAGAAAGCGCGGTGCGACCGCCTCTTCGCGAAATAGGAAGGAGCTAATTATCTGAGGCGCGTGCGCAATAAAAGCCTCGCCCGACACCCAGCCTCCGCTTTCGCCAGGGCCATCTTAGGCTCCGCCTCCTTCGTCCAAGGGAGGGGTCGGCGCTGTGGTGCGCGCGCACGACTCGGGCTCTTTGCCCCGAGTCCAGGTTGCGCTGCGGCTGGTTAGTGGCGCTGTTGCAGCACCATGGCCGAGCCCTCGTTGCGGCCGACATCGCTGCGACCCGTCACTCACCTCATCTTTGACATGGACGGCCTCCTCCTGGGTGTGTAGCGTGCTTCCCGTGCTCCGATCTCTGCTGGAGAGTATGCCTCGGGCAGGGGACGGCAGAGGCGGCCGTTTCCCCCGGGCTGCCCTCGCTTGTGGGGTCGCTGCGCAAAAGGCGGAGGTTCTGTATGTGCGGTTCAGCTTTTCTCCTCCTCTTTCTTCCCCTCCCCACCAATTCCCCTTTGATAGCAAACGTCGAGGTGACACGTGCTTAGAAAGGCGAAAACTCACTTTGTTTTGCTGTTCTGGAAAAGGGAGCAGAAGGGGAAAGCAGGCAGCCGTGTTTGCTTCTGGCTGCCCTACTTTCGGAAGTGATCCGTTCACTTGCCTGCTTTAAATTCCACGTTTCGCCATAATGATCTTCCCCTGGTCACCACCACGTGCATGATTTGAACGTCCGCACAGGGTGTATAGGAAAGGAAGGTATGGGGAACGCCGCGCAACGTAGGCATGGCACTAAGTGTGGCTTTTCTGGACGTAAAAATAAGATGATTGCTTTAAGGGTAGACAACCTGGACTATAGTTCTAATGAAACACCATTATGGCCAGTGTTAGAGATTATGAGAATTGTATCCTGAAACATCTGGAGGGTCCCAGGTTGCTTTTGCAGTTGTACTAAAATGAATTGACTGCAGTCATGTGACCTGGGTTGCGACTGATGCCAGAGATCTGTTCTTGCTTTCTTTGAATTAAGTGCCATTGAATTCGGTGACACTGATCCACAACACACAGTTGATCTGCATCAGCCACATGCTACCTAAGTTTGTTCAGAAGCATGTCCTTATTGATTTCAGTAGGACTCTGTTCTAAGTAAGTTTTATAAAACAGGTTAGGATAAGGAATGAATAGAATGGGAATAACAAGATACTAGTAGTAGGAGGTTCAGATACATTAAAATAGGCAAATAATTTCAGTTCAGGATATTAAAGATGACAATGTTACAGACAGATCACAGATTTGTAAGCACTGCAGTGACAATTACATTATAAAGCTTTTGTAGGCAGTTGCTGGAATACTGAGGAAGCCCATCTTTCATCAAATTATATTTTACTCAGGATCCAGGTAATGGGTCTGTTTGCATGTAATGGCAGAAAATGTAGATTAATTAATCCATGATCCAGGAGACTTCATCTGTTCACATGAACATAGGAAGCTGCTTCATACTTAAACAGCTCCTTGCTCCAGCTAGATGAGCACTGTTGTCCTGGAGTAGCCATGCCGAAAGCATTTTACATAGAGAGTTTGTGTGCCCTGCCTGGAGATGCTGGTGACTGTCCACTGTATGTGTTATAGTTCTGAGCTATGGCAATGAGAATGTGCAGTATTTACCATGCTAGTGCACATTTCATTAAAAACAAGTAGATGGCTTGTTATCTGCTAGATAGTGATCAAAGTTTCCTTGACATTTTTGGAGGTACAAATGCATGGCCTTGTGAATCACAGTATTAAGCAAGGCCTTGGTTTCCACTTGCCATGGAATATTTGTGTAATGGATTGCTACATGAATTTGTGTAGGAACTGTATGTCATGCTGCTTATGTTGACTAGTGTGAAAATGAGTTTTCAAAATATGTGTGGAAATATTGGAGAAACTATTTTTGAAAAATGTAATCTTTGTATGATAAATATTTGTCAGCATGACATTAACATGTATTGTTGAAAGTTGCTTCTTGTACTTGGCTATTGGGAATATTTTTGGATTGTCCCTCCGTTAAAGGAATTGGCTATATAAACCAGTAAAAGAGTAACAAACATAGATAAGCAAGAGTAATACACACAGATAACTATTTCAGGATTGGTAGAAGAATATTCCACTGTTAAGCTGTCTAAAGGATAGTAAAGAACAAACAAGCTAAACTCTAGATTGGAGACTTAACAATTGGGGTGCTGCTACACAAAAGGCCCTGTTTTGTGTATCAGTGAACCATATTTCTCTAGGAGGTGGGACTTTGATGAGGTCTTAGCTCACCTTATCAGTTTTTCTAAAGAACAGCTGCAATAGGCCTGACCTTTTGTACCTACTACAGTGCATGTGTATTTTTAGCTTAAATATTAACTATGCAACCTATTTGGCATTTAGAATTTAAACAGGTTCAGAACAGTAGCTTAATTTAACACACATTGTTTTCACAGTAATTTCAACTTGCATCTTTTTATTGCAGGCTTGTGTGATATGTGATTCACCAACATCCAACACAGCCCTCTCCCCTTGTTTCAGTAAATAGGCAGCATTTTGTTAGTTGCCTAAAATTGTAAGGTATTTTAGACAATATTGCAGCTACTGTTGTCTTGTGAATCCTCTCTAAGAAGACAAGTTGTATTCAAAGATGCAGTAATTTGAAGTATATGCTATAAAGTATTAAACCCATTCCACTTAGAGAAATTCTTGAGAGCCGCTTTCTAGTGGTGGCAGGGCTGAAGGCAAAGGGGGCATATCGGAATTGCTAGCAGCAGGAGATGTATTTCAGCATTTTAGAATGGGGAAAAAGGCACAAAAATGGAAAAGGAGCATGATCAGTAGATCCAGGAAGGGCAGGACTGGGATTTGACTGAGGTTCTGTAATGGTGTTTCTGGAATGACATATTGCTTGGCTGCCCCTTTCATTGTGCAAAGTTCAGAAAACACAGCATATTCTCTCTTTCCTGTTCCCACCCCACTTTCCTAGCTGACTTTTTACTGAAAGCCTGAATAGTTAATTAATTGCAGTACAAGTTTATCGGAATTGTAATGGGCTGTACTAAAATTCTTTTCAGAGTCTGATTTCTGTAATACATATGTAACAAGATTTAGTTAGGCAGCTTAAAAATGGAACATTCTTTACTGTGAAGCGCATCCCTGAGGGAATAGGAATAACTACATTTTAATTTTTGAAGTATTACTAGATAGTTAAGATGTATAGGTGATTTTGCATGTGTGGCAGACAAAGAAAAGGTGAACATTTGATTCTTAACACATCCTTTTACAGCTTGATTTTTGTAACTTGAGAAGAATGCTAGCACTGCTACAATTAATTCATTTGATTTGTACACTATTTTTTCTTCTAAAAGCTAGTTCTCAATCAACCTACATAGATTAAAATTATGTATTAAAATACAATCAAACTGCAATGGTTACACACAAAAAAGGAAAAGAAAAAGCAAAGGTTCAACAACCAACAACCGCTTTTCTTGAATGAATCAGAATTTGCCTGCAGGCAAAACAACAGCAGAGAGGAGTATACCTAGGTTCTATTGGGAAGGCTTTCACCATAGGTTGCATGAATAAACAAAATCCCAAATGAATGCTGGAGCTTTCAAAGGCTTGTTCCTAGCTATTCTTTTTTCTTCTCTCTAGCCAATGCTGTCATTTGAAAACCTCTGCGAGACTGACTCTAGCACTTTGAATACAGAGTTGTACAGTAAAATGATGTTTTGTTTTCCATATTTGTTGGCATAACAATGGCCCACAGATTGGAAACAGTATACAGTATACATTCCAGGCCTCAAGAAGAGATGTGAAAGAGTGTAGCAACTGTAGGACTGTTGCATTAATTTTTCATGCAAGCAAAGCTGATGCTCAGGGTGTTGCAACAAAAAATATCACCTTACAAGAAGCAACAAAGGCCTGGCATTCAGGTAGGATTACAAATATACATTGGCTACTGGAGTGCGCCAAGAAAAAAAAAATCAGTGAATGCTATATAGACCGCAGCTAAGCCTTTGTGTGGATCACAAGAAGCTATGGATGACCCTGAAAGAAATGGGTGTGCCTCAGCACTTGATTGTCCTGAAGTGTAAAACTGACTTCTGGGCAAGAAGATAGTGCTGGGTCAGAATAAGAACGGTTTCTCCTAGGCAAAGGTGTCAGACAAAGCTGTGTTTTATCTTCTATGTTCATTGTGTATTCAGAGCATATCACAAGAAAACCTGGGTTAGAATAAGAGGAAAATGTGCAAATTGGTGGAAGACAAATGATAATTTAAGATTCGTAGATACCATATTACTGGCAGAAAGCAAAAATGAAGTGAAATGAGTGATGATGAAAAAGAAAGCCGAGCATGCAACAGCTGGATTGCAGCTGACTATTAAGACAATGATTACAGAAGAATTACAGATCTTTATTGTTAGAAATAAATTATAATTATGAAAGATTCTATATATATCGGCTCAATCATCTGTTTAAATGGAGACTGTAGCCAAGAAATTCAGAGAAGATTGACCCTTGGAAAGGCAGAAGTGAAGGAACTAGAAAAGATATTAAAATACAAGGACATTTCACTGAAGACCAAGGTCAGGATACATCCACACTACTGTATTCCAGATCAATCTGTGCGCATGTGAAAGGTAGACAGGAAGACAAGTGATGTATTGAAACATGTTATTGGAGGAGACTTACCCTCGACTTCTAGATAGACAAGGAAGTGGGTCCTAGATCAAATCAAACCAGAGCTTTCCCTAGAAGCAAATCTGGCAAAATTTAGACTGTCACACTTTGGCCATGTCATGAGAAGGCAAAATTCCCTGGAGAAGACACTCTTTATGGAAAGTTGAAGGCAGAACTAGAAAAAGAAGGCCAAATATGAAGCCGCAGCCTGGAATTTACAAGATCTGAACAGGGCTGCCATGAATAAGATATTCTGGAGACCTTTTATTCAGTAGCTCACCATAAGTTGAAAACAACTTGATGGCACATAACAACAAAACAACATAATATAAAATGTTTTATGTTATGAAATTCTAAAAAGGCTTATAAACTGTCATAGCACTTGTTGAAGATTTTTTTAGCAGGAAAAAGAATGCTATAGATTTATTCTGCAGCATAGCTAAATGAATTAAGATAAATTTCATTATGTAGGATGTCAGGGAACCATCTGAAATGTATTGCCTTTCAATCCAGTGCCAAACTTGGGTGATTAGTTTTATAATTGTGAAGAAAGCATAGTGTAAAATGTTTGGTACCATTATACATACACACTTGGAATTCAGAATGCAATGGTTCATATGAGGACTAGAAAAACTAAAGGGAAGTAGTTTGCTTTTCATTGGTAGTTTTACCATCTGGCAATAACATCTTTAGATTGTTGTTTTGAATGAAGTTATATGCCCTTTACTGTGCAGAGACATTTGAAAAATACACAA